CTGTGGAAGCCAGTCTCTAAAATGGCAGATAGACGTTCACCACCTGAGGGGAAAATGTATGATAAAGAACTAATTAAAAATTAAGGTAAAATACTATAAACACCTCCAAGAAAATCAGCCATGTGAATTAGCAACAATAGGAACGAGTGATTTATTCTAGGGAGGAGAATGAACCTCAAGAGAGGCTGTGGAAAGAGGGTACGTCAGGGAACCCTGTGAGGCTGACAGGAGTGAGAATTACAGCAGACGGCCCGTTACCAGCTAAAGAGTATGCTTGCCTGTTGCACAGTATCTACTAAAATGCTACTGACATCACTGGTACAAAGACATGATAGTGGGGGAATTGGCCATTCATTGTTTCAGGTGTGAAAAGCTAACCATCCCACCCACAGACCACAATCTGATCACTCAGTGACAATCCCCACCAACCCACCTACTCCCGCATCCTAACTCAATATTCCTAAATGTTACAAATGGACTTTTCCAGCTTTAAGTTTGTTGTAACGCTATTATAAAAAGTTCCATAGTTAGAGGCGTCTTTGAAAATTTAACACTTCCTGCAATTTCTTAAAAACACCTATTTACAATAATTTGTTCACATTTAAGATTTCATATAGTATTTTAATACTAAATAAACATAATTATGCTCTAAAAGTACAGCATAGAAAATACAGTCAATAATATTGTAATCTATGTAGGGTGCCAGGTGGGAACTGGAAATATCTTGGGGAACACTCAGCAGAGGAACTGAGCCCACCCAGCAGTGATTGGCACCAGCTTGCCAGTTACAAGGGAGCCTCCCTGGACAGAGGTTCTCCACCCCATCAAAGCTTCACATGGCTGAGGCCTGAACCAATGTCTTAAGGACAGTCTCACAAAGATCTCAAAACCCGATTCATCCTGCTAAGATGCTTCCAAATTTTTGACCCAAAAAACTGTGAAATGTTAAGTGTTTATTACTGTTTTAAGCCACTAAGTTTTGGGATAATTTAGTATATGGCAACAGATGACTAATACAGAGATCCTCACAGAATACTTTTAAATGCCCAAAATTACAAAGAAAACTAAATAAAATGGGGTTATAAAAATATGTTTAAATAATTGTAATATAGTAATATATATTCATCTTCATGAATGTGTTACATAACAAGAGGTAAAAAAAAAAAAGTCTAATTTCAACAGTGTTGAATGTAAACCCTATTTTGAAATATCTTCATTAACTACAATATGTTTTTAAAACATCTGTGATTTCAGTGGTGATAAAGTCATAGGCAAATCCTACTGGGGGGGGGAGGGAATACCACTATTCCTATGTTTTAAAAATACTAAATTTCACTTAAAGGTTAATGAAAATAAAAAATGTAATATTTTCCTGTTCAAGTTCAAGGATTCAAAGGCACCACAGATCCTACCACAAACCCTTTGGCGGTCCATGAACACCAGGTTAAGAACCCCTGGTAGGTAGATGTGGAATAGTACCAGAAATAGTGGTGGAGAAGAAGAAAGTAACTCAAGTTCTAATGCCTTCAATGACTCAGTGGGAGGGACAGGAAAACCTACAGTTAAGACCAACTAGGAGAAATGCACAGAAATGCTTAAAAAGGGCTAGAAGCATTTGAAGAAAGAAGATACCAGGAAAGTAAAACCTTCAAAAAACATCTAGGTTTCTATAAAGCAAGAAGGAAAGCAAACAATCAAAGTGACAGGCTTTGAGATCCGAAGGGCAAAGTAGGAGGGTTTGGGAGGCTGGGGGAGTAGAGAGAGAACGTCAGATGAGAAGAAAAAGCAGACCTGCACAGGGAGAGAAGCCTCTAGGTGCTTGCTGATGATGTGTATTCATTATGATTTCTGATGTTGATGCAGGTCAGCAGGAAAGTGAGTTGAACTGTAGTAACTAATAAAAATTAATAAGGAAATATAAATCATCAAACCATGTGGACTGTATCTTAATTCATCTCCTCTGTCCCTACTGCCACTACCCTAGTTCAGGCCACGTGGATAATTGCTGCAGTCTCCTAAATTGCCTCTCTATCTTCACTGCCTGTCTACCCCTACAGTCCCTGGAGCTGTTCTCTATGCTGACATAATTCTGATCTTCATGTCCCACATTCCTGTGCTCAAAACCCTTCAACCTTTACTCAGAGGATGACATTCAAATATCTTAACACTGCTCAAAGTTCATCCTAATGGGAATCTCACTTCCTCTCCAGACTACCTCTTCACCATTCCACCACCCTTACATTCAATGACCTAAATGTAATGAGTAACCTAGTCTCCTAAATGTGCCAATGCTGTTTCTTGTGCCTAGAACCCATTCACATCCACAACTCATGTTCCACCCACTTAATCTAGAGAATTTCAACTCAATCTTTAGCTCTCCATTTGAGCTACATGTCATGTAGGAGACTTCCTGACTCAAGACAGATTCTGCAGACCTAGGGCTTGCTCGCTTACAGAATAGTATGTATACTACTCTGAAACTGCCTCGTATCATAGATATTTACTCAAATAGGGTGTAAGTCCTTGAGAACAGAAATTGTTCTTTCATTCACTAAACCATTCCTAGAACATAGCATGGTCCTAAGTATGTAGTGTGCCTTCTTTTAATATTTGTTAAGTAAATTAATGAATTAATAAAGCTTTCTATCTTCCATAGCTGGGACAGATGCCACTACTTCTTGCCTTCTAAGTCCTTCTCAACAATATCGGGAAGAATGCCAGGTGTTATGACTTTTATATATTCAATAAGAAAACCAAGACTCTTCCAACACCGATCAAAGAGCAGCCCACTTCACTAACAACAAGCATGAATTTCTGTTGTAATACCCTAGAGTAAGATAGTCAGGAAAACCTCCACTCAAAGGAAAAGAGCACAAAGTCATTTAATTTTTTTTTCTTTTATTTATTTTAGGGAGAGAGGAAGTGAGAGGGAAAGAGAGATAGAAACACTGATGAGAGAGAACATTGATTGGCCGTCTCTTGCATGCCCCCCACTAGGGATTGGGCCCACAACCTTGAGCATGTATCCTGACCGGGAATCGAAGTGGTACCCTCTTGATGCATGGGTCGACGCTCAACCACTGAGCCACACCAGCCAGCCAAAGCCTTTTTTTTTTTAAGTCAAAAAAGTTTAAGTTCTATCTACCCACATCTACTCAAAGTATAATGATAAATGAATATATTCAAATATTACAGAATGCTATACTTAAAAGCAAATATAAATTAGCTCTATAAATGACTACTACAGTTTATTTTTAAAAAATAGACCAATAGTACCTATTCATGAAAATGTTTCAGAGACATCAACAATTGCTTTCTATTTGCCAATCTCGCACTTCCACTAGGAATCCATTCAGTTGACATCCAGGAAGTAAAATTGTTAGAGAAAAAAGTTACTGTCCCCGTGCCAGCCTAGATTCCAACTCGTCCTCCAAAATTCAGCTGAAGTCACCTTCTCCAGGAAGTTGTCCCCAAGACTGAAGTTGACCTTATGACTCCACTGAACCCCATGCGCTATTGTTCCAGCCCCATCATACTGCACTCAAATGTGTCGTGGCTGTGTACACATCTGTGTCCGCACTGTCCCCAGAGGAGAGAAAGTCTTATTCATCATTGTATCCCTAGAATAGTACTAGGCACTCAATAAATGTTTAATGAATGAATGGAAAGGATGAATAAACAAGTCTGCACACCCTACTACATCTTAGTATATTCAACACTGAGAGCTCTTGATCTTATTCCCAAGTTTGTACTGATTTGAAGAGAAGCTCTCTAAACTATTTCATAAATATTTAAAGATCCTAAGATAGTACTTAAGTGTTACTACTGAAAATCTAAGTACAGGAAGTTCTAATTAACTCATATTAATGGGTTCAGAAAGGCCCACCTGACTTAGTGAATAGTTTAAATTTTATAGAACTTGTTTTGATGTATTTTACCACATATATTCAGTTGTCCCAGTCCATACTGTCTGTCTACTTCACACAGAAAAAAGTATATTTTGAGTATACAGTTCTACAAGAAAATTGTGGAAAATATTATCATTGATTTTCACTTACCAAAAAAATATAGTAAGTTCATAAAAATGCAAAATGAACTTAAATTATAGTATAAAAGCTTTATATCCTACCAGGCCAATAATATATTATTTCAAATAAATATTCTAAGTTGAGCTCTTTTTTAAAGCTAATGATTTGTTTTATTAACTGACTTAAAAGTTAGGCACATGTTCATAACAAAATTCCTTTCTTTTCTTTATATATGTATGATGTTGAATTTAGCATATATACAAGACAAATCGCATCTAGGTACAGGAAGAGTCTGCAGGTAGACAAGACCAGTCCTGTTAGGCACGTTCACCTGGAGAACTCATCTCTCTGCATGAACCAATCTCACAGAAAACACCCAGGAATGTGCTGGAGTTTTCTGGTAGCCGCTAGTTATACGGAGTGAGTCCAGAGGCCCACAGAGAACAGGGACAGCTTCTGAAAGCACTCGCCAGAACCCACGGCCAGACCAGGTGACATCCTCAGTGGCTCTAGGACCCCATTCACCATGGGGAACTCTAAGGGGCACCAGGGAAGCCTACACTCTTATCTGGGAGCAGACTGCAGTTGCTAGATCTGTGAAGGTGTTTCCATACAGTCTTTCCATGCCTTTGCCATTTAAATAACCTCATATCCTTTACCTGTTGCCATCTCAGTGACACACATCACTATTCCTTTGGGATAAACCTTTCTCAGTTATGTTAACTAGAAATATTCAAAATAGTTCATTTCTTATCAGAGAAAACTTCTTAGATACAGTGTCTTTACAATTATCTCTCTCTCAGGATTAAAATCAACGGCTAAGATATACTTTTTCCTCGTCAGTTTAAAGATCAGAAGTCTCATAGAGATGGCCTTAAGGAAAAAAGAAAAAATAACAAGACACACTTTGAGATTTAACACTGGCACTCTCGGTGGAGACTGAAACAGCACTTAGGTGGCAGTATGACTCACCTTTAAAGATCCTGTTCTCTGGGGCCAGTCGCCAGAGCTTCCTGGCTGCCCCGTGACTTGCAACAAGTTACTTAACCTCTGTTGGCTCAGTTTCTCCATCTTTCAAAACAGGAATAATGCGTACTCAGAGGCTTGCTTGAAAAATTAAATGTGCTTATAAAGGTAACATTCGGAACACGGCTAATAATTGCATGGTCCTTACTATCACTTCACACGTCTTCTCCCAATCAGCATGTTTTTACATTCTCTAAGTAAATTCTCTAAACAACTTACCTCACATCTTTCTATTCCCTAGAAGGTTCCTGCATGTTGGTGAGAAACATATATCTAATTAGAGAAGCAGGCTCCTACCACAGAGGCCTCATGTGCCATGTTAAAGAGCTTGGGCTTGATCTATAGATAACAGGTGCAATTAAGCAGTTTCCAACCGGGTAAAATATGGTCAGAGATGCAATTTACACAAGTCACTCTGGTTGCTGTGCAGAAAGATGGCATTTTTTAGAGAACAAAAGAAAGTTGTGAATCCGAACAAGAAATAATAAAGAACTATTGCTCAAATAGAAGGAATTCAGAGAAGAAAACAGATTCAAGAAATAATAAGAAAAGAAACATTAGAGCCCGACTGGTGTGGCTCAGGGGCCGAGTGTTGAACCATGCACCAAGAGGTCACCAGTTCGATCCCTGGTCAGGGCACATACCCAGGTTGTGGGCCCGATCCCCAGTGGGGGGGCGTGCAGCAGGTGGCCAGTTAATGTTCTCTCTCATCAATGTTTCTTTCTCTCTCTTTTTCCCTTCTTCTCTCTCCAAAATCAATAAAGAAAAAAAAAATTTTTTTTACAAAAGGAAACATTAGAAGGGTGAAGCTACCTTTTAGGAGAACAGAGAAATAAAAACAAGTGTAAGAGAAAAGTGAAGGGTTAAATTTTGGGGCATGTAGAGTTTCAAGTACAGAGGAGACATCCATCCATACCAAGGCATTTAGAAGCTAATGCAGTAACGTCTCAACTTGAAGAAAAGGTCATAGACAGAGCTATAGACTAAGTTGATTACCCAGATCAGGCACTGTATACAGAGGAGAGCAGTGGCTTTAGGAAAGAAACCTGAGAAATAATAGTTCAATAGGCAAAGGAAACACACACACAAGAGAGATAGAAAAGGAAAGGTCAGAGGGATATGAAACCAATAGCCAATAAAATCTTCATTTTTCAAACAGGAAGGAGAAAACTGGATCAAGCAGAGCAGAGAATCCGGTAAATTTCCAAAGACTAAAAACTAATGAATATCACTTAGGATAAAAATGGTCATTGCATAATAATAAAAGATTCATAACAATCCTAAATGTATATACACTTGATTGAAAGCTTCAAAAAAATGAAGCAAAAAACTGACAGAAGTGAAAAGATAATTTTAAAACCCTAAATTATATTTGGAGACTTCAACACTTCTCTTTCAATAATTGTCAGAACATACAGGCAGAAAAATCAGAAATATAGAAGATGTGAACAACACTATCAACCAACTTGACCTACTTACTATTGACAGACCAGTTTTAACAAATACAGTGCACATGGAACATTCACCAAGAGGGACCACATTCTCAGACCGAAGGCAAGATTCAAAAATGAAAAGGACTGAAACCACACAAACTATGAGCTCTGGCCAAGGGAATTAAATTACAAATCAGTAATAGAAAGATATCAGGAAACTCAAGTATTTGAAAATTAAACAACATGTACCTAAATAACCAAAGGATCAAAGAAAAAAAAAACCCACAGGAAATTAGAAATCAGAAAATGACACCGTAGCTCTCTGAGGGAAATTTATAGCATAAAATTCGTATATCAGACAACAAAAGTCTCAAATCAATTATTTAGGCTTCCACCTTAAGAAACAAATAGAGCCCTGGCCGGTTTGGCTCAGCGGTTAGAGCGTCGGCCTGCGGTCCTGAGAGACCTGGGTTCGGTTCCCGCTAAGGGCGCGTACCTCAGTTGCAGTTGTCCCTGGCCCTGGTGGGTTGTGCGGGTGGCAGCCACTCGATGTGTTCCTTTCACATCGATGTTTCTCTCTCTCTCTCTGTCCCTCTCTCTCCCTCCCACTCTACCTGAACAAAGAATGGAAAAATGTCCTCAGGTGAGGATAAAAAAAAAAAAAAAGAAAGAAACAAATAGAATAAAGCAAGAGGAAGGAAATAATAAAGATAAAATAAATGAAAACTAAAGAACTATAAAGAAAATGTCTGAAACCAAATGCTTGTTCTTTTGAAAGATCAGTAAAATTGGCAAACCTCTAGTCATACTAATGGGGGGGGGCGGGCAGTGAGGTGAGGGGGGACAAAGCACAAACTATCACTATCAGGACAGGAAAAGAAGATGATCAACACAGATCCTACATTTAAAGGACAAGAAAATATTACAAACAACTCATGTAATTCAACAACACAGATATGAACAAATTCCTTGAAAGGCAATGAAACAGGATCTCAGAAATGCCTCTATTGCTACATAGGCCACTGTCTGTTTTTCTAGCTAGAACAGTGAACTATCTGTGGGTCATGAAATCAATGGAGTGGATTGGATCACTTTTTTTTCTTGTTTTTCTTTTCTTTTTAATGGAATGGAGAGGAGCGCAGTGGAATGGAAAAGACTGGAAAGGAAAAGATCCAAGTTTATTATGCTTAGAAACATTAAATACTGTTTCTTAAAACATGTTTCAGCTGAGAGAGAATTTGTATGTATGTGTGTGCCGGGCTACAAAATAAAATGTATTTCTTACTGTGGGTCCTAGTCAACGTCTGAAAACCAGTGCTGACAGGCCAAACAAGGAATTACAAGAGCAACACTGAAGTCAGTGGGAAAAAATAAGAGACCATCAGTAGGAGCACTGTACTTCCAACAAGTGGTTGTGAGGAAGGGACAAGTAGGAGAAAAAGCAAGGCAAACCCAACTCCTGGACAGCAGAAATACTCAGTGGACACTGAGATGAACACTCAGCATTGTGATGTCCTCATTCAATTTCTTCCAGCTTGCCTGTTCAAACGTGTCTTCCCTCCTATCCTCCCCCTAAGCTTTTATCTCTACAAGGAAAGCTTTCTTTTCAACCCAGCTATAACAATGGAAGGTGGTCAACTCAAGGACTTTTTTCATCTTTGTATTACCTTTGCGCCTTGGGCTGCACTTTATCCATAGTGGATGCTCAGATATTTATGGAATGTACACTGTTTAAAACATTAACTCTGGCCCTGGCTGGTGTGACCCAGCTGGCTGGGTGTCATCCCATGCAATGAAAAACTGCCAGTTTGATACCCCGGTCAGGGCACATGCCTGGGTTTTGGGCTTAATTTCCAGTAGGGAACATGCAGGAGGAAGGAGATCTCTGTTCTGCTCTCATATAGATGTTTCTCTCTCCCTCTCCCTTCCTCTGAGAATAAACAAACACATATTAACTCTGCCTAGGGACCTCATGCTATTGTACTACTTCATTCTTTTAATCAGTGTCCTGTGAAATTAAATTCTGATAGAAAAAAAACTTTAAAAGGTGAAGTACTTTCGCAGTCCTTTAACGAAGCAACATAAAGAAATGGGTTTTTAATATTAATGCTTCCAAGGATGTTTCTTTTTAATGTTTCTAAAAACCCTGTTATTCAGATGTATGACCACTGCAGGCGCCACACTTAGATGCCTTCTCTCAAGTTCTGCCCAAAAGGCTATTCACATTAAGATGTTCTAGATTGAAAGCACACACGCAACAGTTGTGGTGGTGACAACCTTTAGTTAGAAAACAAATGCCAGCATACATGGACGCACCACTCAGAAGCAATGCTCCCCAGAGCTCTAACTCACCAGAAATAGTTTAAAGAGCTCTCAAATTATCCAGCTGTCCTGCCCGCCTCACAGCTCTGCACTGACCTAAAACACACCTGCCCTGTAGGCCTCAATTACAAACGCGTCACACCACCTCGCTCTCTGTCCATCAGGAAGTATTTTTAAAAGGGGTTAAAAGGGGACAGAACTAAATGCCACAGTTCAGCCTACTTGGGCTTAAGTAAAACACACCAAAACCCTATGAGAAAGGCAGAAGGTGTAATTAGTCATTCCTTACAAATAAGCGAATATATAATGGATCTGCCAAGGTCACAGAGCTAAGAAGTGGTGAAATTCTGTCTTTCAATAAGTCATTTGATTCCAAATCCAATGCTCCTTCCACACAGCATCCAATCAACAGTGAGTAAGAAAACCCTTACTTGTCAGTGTCTCCTGTTCAAGGCAGCTATGCTTATTCTCTAAGCTCCACAACCACGGTCCAACGCCCACACCAGACTCTGTCCATCCTTTTCTGGGCTCAAGCCTTGGCCACTCAAAAGCCAGGCTAAATAAAGCACAGATCAGAAGAGAACAACAGGGAGAGCTGGGGAGAGGGCGGTTCAGCCAGTGAGTCAATGTGAAGAGGGAGAACAAGCAAATCAGGAGAGACGGTCATGTGTACTCCTAAGCTGAAGGCAGGGGCAGGCAACAGGCAGCGATCGGGCCGGCAGTCAGAAAGACTGACAGCAGGTCCCTCTCAAAGCTTCTCTACCCTGTACAACAGCAAGACTAGCCCTGGCTGGTTTGGCTCAGCAGTTAGAGTGTCAGCCCTTGGACCAAAGGGTCTCAGATTCGATTCCAAGTAAAGGGCATGTACCTGGGTTGTGAGTTCGATCCCCAGCCCTAGTTGAGGTCATGCAGCAGGCAGCCAATCGATGGGTCTCTCTCATGTTGACATTACTCGCTCACTCTCTCTCCCTCTCTTCTTCCCTTCCGCTCTATCTAAAATCAGTGGAAAACTATCCTTGGGTAAGGATTAAAAAAAAAAAAAGACCCCATCTCTGGGAAGCCTGACCTGGGCCCAGCCTGCACAGATCTAAGAATCCACAATACCATGCAGGTTATCAAAACAGTGCTTCATTCTTTCAGTCCCTCAACAAAGAACTTATGAAAATGCTTAGCAAGTGCCAGAGAACATGCCTGGAAATATTACTAACATATTGTCTCCATCTTCAAAAGCTTTCAGCTGAGAAAGACAGATCATAAACGATGTGCTGCCTTGATAAAAACATGCACAGGGCACTACATAACAACCCAAAAGCTCGGACCTTACCACAGCCAGCTGCAAGGATGAGGGGGGAGGGGAGGAACCAACACAGGATGGAGAAAGATGAAGAAAGTCTTCACTGAGGGGAACCCATCTATTAATGTAAAGTCAGAGCAAGAGGGCTCCTAGGGTAGCCTGTTAAGCAACTCCGTAGACGTGACTGTTTCCAGAGAGTATGGGCTGCACTGTGCTAGGACAGTCCTTTCATAAGGGTATAACAAAGGCAAGAGCACTGAGTGAACGCGGGGAAAATATAGACTGCCCATAAAATGGAAACAAACCTCAAAAATATCACCGCAGAGCATACTGTTCATCAAGAGAAAGGAAGTACTGATATATGTTTCAACCTGGATGAACCTCGAAAACATTATGCTAAGTAAAAACTTCAGTCACAAAAGATGACATATCATACGACTCCATTTATATGAAGTATTCAGAAGAGGCAAATCAAGAGATAGAAAGCAGACTGGCGACTGCCTAGGGCTGGGGGAGATGGAGGTAACTGGGAAGGGACTGTTTACTGGTATGAAGTTTCCTTTTGGGTGATGAAAATGTTCTACAATTGATTGTGGTGATGGCTTCACAACTCTGCGAATATACTAAAAACCACTGAAATGTATGCTGTAAATGGATGAAATATATGGTATGTGAATTATAGCTCAATAAGGCTGTTACAAACATACCACTGTATTCCCATAAAAGTTCAAACATCAAAACTGCAGATGGTTTTATTACCGGCCTTAAGAAGCCATTTGAAAGCTAAGTTGGCAGAGGAAATGCATGGGTTTGGGCTAAATGGAACAAGATTCAAACCACGGCTGCACAACTTGCCAGCTGCACACACTTGAGAGAGCTACCAACTCACCCTGTTAGCCTCAGTGCACGCAGGGGTGAAATGAGGACATGAGCCGCGCAGGGTGAGGAAGTCTAGACATAACTTGCATAAGTGCTCTATATTGCTACCATTGTCTAAATACTATCACTTGAGAAATAAATGTCATGCTGGAAAGTTTAAATACCCTTTTCTTAGATATAATACACAGGAATAAAACATAGAAACCTAATTCAATTTTTTAAAATCTGCATGTCGCCCGGCCAAAGTGGCTTACTGGTTGAGTATCAACCCATGCACCAAAAGGTTGCCAGTTCAATTACTGGTCAGGGCACATGCCCAGGTTGTGGGCCCAAACCACAATTGGGCGCATGCAGGAGGCAGCCAATTAATGTTCTCTCTCATCCATGTTTCTATCTCTCCTTCCCCCTTCCTCTCTATCTCTAATATCAATAAAGAAAAAATAAAATAAAAAAATAATAAAATCTGCATGTCAAGATCTATGTCTCATTCACATTTGCATATGCACCTTGCCCTAATATGGTTAAGTGTCTGAGGTGGTACTTTGGATTATCAGGGGTGCTAAACATTTTCTGAATGCTTATTATGTTTTAAGCACTCTGTTTCCTATTTGATACCAGGTGAATGTGAATTCAAAACTTGATCAGTAGAGTGAAATGCTTTGTCCTCTATATCATGCGAATATATTTTTGGTGTTACTGTTTATTTGGGTCTTGCTCTTGCTGTTACTCCTTTACCATTAACCAAGAATTATATTCAAAAAGAGTTATCAGAATAATCTACTTGAATATACAAGAATCTGTAAGGGTGCTATGAAGTGTTAATTACTTATATGGTCTATTATTTTCAAAATGCAGAACATACACTAAGGCTGCCGGGTTCTCGTTATTTTTTTCAGTAAAATTTTTTAAAATACATGGTTTTTATTCTAGTCTTTTTTAATTAGCAACTACATATTTCTGAAAAGCTGGCATGTCTTTAGCTATTATATTTTACCACTTTTTGAAGTATGAGAGCTGATTTAAATGATTCAAGGTTGACTAACAATCTGTAATTACAAATTTTTTTAACTAACATATCAACTAGTCCCTTTTGCTATTTAAAAGCAAAAGTTTAATGTATTTTACCAGTTCTGCCTCTTATGTTAGCGCAACAAAAGCAGTCCATTTCCAAGCGTGCAGGTTCTAGCAGTCTGTTAGCACAGCATGCCACCATCACACAGTTAGTTCAAATTCACAGCACAGGAACACTGAGAATAATCTTACCATGTCATCTGTCAGCGTCTTAATATTTAAATGCTGCAAATGAAAAAAAAAAAAAACAAAAAAACAATCCCATCAATAATTTATAACAGCTTTGAAAAATTTTAGCTAATAGAGTACATTTAAAATTCTACAGTGCTAAGTTGAATGTAATTAAATTCCTGGCAGTCTAATAAAAATGCATTATATATTGTTTTAATCACTTTCTTGATAAGATGGGCAAAAGTTGCCCTGAATGTGTTAATACCAAATGTTTCCTAAAATTTCTCATATTTTCAAACCAAATTAGAAACCTAACTGTGGTACAATTAATATATTCTCCCAAGTAACAATATTATCATTAAGTATATAAACGTAGAACACAACAGATATAAAGATTTAAATCTACGCCCAGCTAGTGTGACTCAGTGGATTGAGTGTCTTGAGCGTCATCCCATGCACTGAGAGGTTGCTGGTTCTATTCCCGGTCAGGGTACATGCCCAGGTTGCGCGCTCAATCCTCAGTATGGCAGCCAATCAATGTTTCTCTCCCTCTCCCCCTCTCCCTTCCTATCTAAAATGTCAATTAAAGATTTTTAAAAAAAGATTTAAATCTAATTTTCTGAAATTTGTTTCTATTATAAAACAGTGAAACTTTAAATCTGCCATTAGCATGCAGCACAGTAGATAATGAAGTACTTTGCTGGCTTAATTAACTTAAACAATTCTAGAAACAAGGAAGAGAATACTACAAGTATCTGCATCTTTAACATCAGTTTGATTTATCACTAGTGGTGACAGTAGACACTTTCAATTTCGTTGTTAGCTTCTTTGAGGACCCTTTTGCTGATTTCCTTGCTAGACAAACATAAGGCCACTTTAGAAAAGGAATAAATTAGTTTCCTGCAAAGTTTTGTTCAAACAAAAAAGTATTTAGGAGAAAAAAAACAAATCTAAGTTTTATAAATTCCGGAGTCGGGAAAGATTTTGCATCCCAGTAGCTAGAATCAATTTCCAGTTCCCCTTCCTCTTATTCATTGTGGCATTGGGTCTTACCAGGGCAGAAACAGGATCAAGTGTATTTCCTAAATAGAAAATCAGATGTATGTACTATTTTGTGTAGTATAGAAGAATGTGTTAGCAATGAGTACACCTTTACACTCATGAATCTACCTTAATGATGATCCAGATTAACACTGTTACAATGTAGTACACCCAGTATGGCTCAATGGTTAAGCACCTACCCATGTACCAAGAGGTCACTAGTTCAATTCCAGGTCAAGGGCACATGCCCAGGTTGTGGGCTCAATCCCCAACAGGGGGCATGCAGGAGGCAGCTGACTGATGTTTCTCTCTCAGTGTTTCTCTCTCTCTCCCCTTCTCCCTTCCTCTCCCTCTAAAATCAATAAAAACCTGTTGTTTTTTTTAAACCTTCCAAAAACTATTACAGTGTAAATCACTATCCCAGATTCTCTTCAGCCTTTCACCAAGATGTTCCTTCATCTGGTACAGAAAAAAAAAAAAAAGCTAAATAAATGACCACACCATTCGCCACCTGCCACACCACTAAGCTCCAGACTGAATTACCTGTTACATTAGGAACAAAGAAGTAATAATACTGGATTAAAAAAGGGTTAGCATTTAATTCTGGGCTACAGAATTTGCTTTTAACCACCACTATCTGTAGTCCTTGAAATGAAAATGCATGCCCAAAGGTCCTTAAGAGTGGGTGTGGACCAGGGCAGGACTGAAATATCTAAGGACTTATGGTCCCAGTCTCATCCAAGAGACCATTACTAGAATTAAACCCAATTCTACCCCAAGTTCACAGAAAAAAGAACAGTGGAAAGTGCATAGGGGGTCCCTTCCTCCAAATGCCTGCTTTCCTGCCAAGAGAGATTTCCAGCCCATTGCATTTGGAGAACCACACCTCTCTTATTCTCCAACCAGTGTTATCACCCAACCACAACCCCATCACACCTCAATGGGTCACTTCAAGGTTCTCCGACAAGAGAAATATAGCCGACATCTGACAATAGCATGCTAGGTGGCCTAATGCTTAAAACCTAAGGCCAAAGGAAAAGTATCAAGCTGAAATTCTATTTAGAATAGTATGCCGCCACAAAGAGAAAACATGGCCTTACACAAGTGATACGTTCCCAAATCCCAATTTGAGCTGCCTGAGGAAAATGTCATAAAAGTTATGGCAAACAGAGAGAAAGATCGTGAAAATAGACAATTTTAACAGAAGTGAGAGTAGAGCCCATGCAAGATTTATGAGCTGAAGATACAGAGAGTAAATTCCAGACCAAAAGTAGGGAATGTAAGTTGTATAATGAAAAATCCAGAAGATGTAAATGTCCAGGAACATTATTTTTAAATACCTTTGAAGGCCTAAAGTTGCACAGCCTTTTAACTGAGAGTTGGACTCATAACATTCAGAAAAAAGAGCAAGGAGTGACTCGTGTAGAAACAAAACACATAAGGTGTTTTTGTTTTTTTTTCCAGCCATGGCTTTTTTATATTTTTAAATGGCCTGACTTTTAAAAGAACTCAATTTGTTAAATGCTTGACTTGTGTTTTTAAAACTATATAGGCACATACATAATCCCCATTACGATCTACATGATCTTTCACAAAAAAGAACATGTGCTGCATTTCAACAGAATTATAATGCAGGGGTAGCTTACATGAAAAAATAAGGACTCAAAGGAATGTAAGTGTGGGAAGTTTAACGTCTGAGAGAAAAGCAAGGAGCTCCAGTCACGATTCCTTCTCGGGAGAACACTTACCTACGGATTCCCACCGCCAGCACGGGAAGCCAGGAGGGAAGGAAATGACAGCAAATTCAAGGACCGTAACAGAACTGGAGATACTGCCTGACAGAGCAAATGACTGAAAACTATCTAAAAATCCAGGTTTCTATATCAAAACTTTCAAGTCAGAATAAGTTTGACTTCAAGATTTAGCTTCCAAAAAATAGATGACATCGCTATTTGTTTACACACATGCAATCTGAAAGAAACCACTAAAAAAAATGTTTTGAATAGCTCTATGCATGAGTAATTTACAATAAAAACTGAAATGTCCGATCACATTCCACCTCAAACATGACCGAAAGAAGAAGAAACAAACACTAAATACTTACTGAAAGAATGTAAAGGTCGTGTCAAATGGCACCCTTTTGTGGGATGTCTGAATGCTAATGTTAATTCAAGTTTACCTGCCACACCACTAAGCTCCAGACTGAATTGCCTGTTACATTAGGAACAAAGAAGTAATAATACTGGATTAAAAAAGGGTTAGCATTTAATTCTGGGCTATAGAATTTGCTTTTAACCAACACTATCTGTAGTCCAACCTGTTTAAATTATAGACTCCTAGACAGCAGAGGGAGTAGATGGCTGATATAAAATCCTCAATTCTGTGAGGCTCTGGCCTTTTGTAACTACAACAGTGATATCCTTAATTTAAAAATGAAAAAAACCATTATAAAAAATTACTGCTTTTATACTGGTACTTGAGGTACTGTTTAAATGTCTGGAAAACCAAGACACTGAAATGAAATATGCCTGTTTTACAGCCATGCTCTTGACTTCTGGCTGGGGAAACAGGAATTGCACGCATCAATCCAGTTCACGAGTAGCAATTGCCAATATCCACACCAAGAAGGAAACAGAAACAGAAACTTGACTATTAAGTGGAAGCAAATAGAAATGCTTTTAAAAAAATACTAACAATGCCCGGCCGGTGTGGTTCAGTGGATAGAGCGTCGTCCCACGGACTTAGAGGTTCCAGTCAGGGCACATGCCCAAGTTGTGGGCTCGACCCCCAGTAGGAGGCAGGCCAATTGATGTTCTCTCTCATCCATGTCGCTTTCTCCCTCTCCCCCTCTCTCTAAAATAAAGAAAGAAAAAGATATTTAAAAAAAAAAAAAGCGCATTATGGCTCTTGCCCTATCCCTAACTTTTTAGAGCCAAATTCACCCTACTTCCCATTTCTATTATATTTCTCTACTTACAAATTGTATTTTCTCCCTAAAAAGTAAGGAGCACCACATATAGATATGTTTTCTGCTAATGACAGTTCCTAGGATGAATGATCAAGAGGAGCACTCTGGAATTGAAAGAGCAAGTCTTTATAGATTTTTTTCTTCTAAAGAACATAGGATCCCCTCCCAAAAAAGGGCAGAAATACAGAACATAGATCTCTATATTCCCATCAAAACCTTTACTGAAGACAGTACACACTGTCAAAAATTGATCTGGAGCTTCAAAAGCACTGTGCTAAATGCTGTACATATGAAGAGGTATGAAGCAACAATCCCGCCTCCATCCACTTAGTGTACAAGCAAAAGTTCACAAGTATGTAACAAAGACCAGATAAATTAACACAGAGCAAGATACAAACCCCTGGGATGCACATGCAATGAAAAAGAGTCCGAACTGTAGCAAGTTCTACATTTTCTCTCATCGGTTAGCACATTTGAACCAGCAGGGAGCAAAAGATCTGTCCACTGACATCAAGTGCATGACAGCCACCACCAGGTGTCCAGATCGCAGGCCTGGATCACTGTCATAGAGCCAAATACTGGTAATAATTTTAAATAGTTTTAGCTGTTGTAATTCCATTAAATTTATATCTTTTAACTGGGTCATTATGAGAAATTAGCAACAAGAGAAAACCCTATAAGATTAAAGCTTCTGAACTCACTTGACTCAGACCCAATTTTCATAAACTAGACCTTCTAGACCAGCTAGCTGGTTAGTGGGCACAAAAACAGACCAAGATTATCTTTGTAAAAGTAAATTACAGGACCTCGGCTTCCCAAGATTCTGATTTAGTAAGTGTAAGGTAAGGCTTAGGAACCTGCTGCATGTTTAAGGGGCCCTACAGCGAGCCCAGGACCAAGAGAAACAGGCTCCACACACCACCCCCCACCAACCATTAAACATTCCTTCAGCCTACACACACACACACACACACACACACACACACACACACCACCCCCCACCAACCATTAAACATTCCTTCAGCCTACACACACACACACACACACACAC